GAAAGACTCTATGACGCAGAAGTTAGCTCTAAGATTGGAAGCTCCTCCCGTGGTCACTACTGACTTGAATAAAGGCAAAGGTCTAGTTTTTGATTACAGTGAAAAAATGGGGGAGTCCAGAGAATCCCATAGATCAGCTCCGCAGGCGAAGCTGTTGGCGGCTTCCTCCAAAGCTTATGTCCAGGACTCTTTTTGTTCGAGACCGGCGCCTTTCTTTCATGATCAGGAGGCTGAGAGTGTGGCTAGTTTTGCCTCTCTTCCCTCTATCCATCCTACGGTTTTTAAGGCTGGGAGTTCTGCTCCTAACTATACAGGGATTGGTAAGAAAAGATCTGCAACTAGAAAACGCCCTCCAAAGAATGTCAGACTACAAAGAAGGATACTAAAGGGACAAGGTGCAACAAATGATTTGGAGACCAGAGGGGGAGGGGAAGAACTGGCAGGAATCAAGAATCGGAAGTTTTCTCAAGAAGGAAAAGATGGAGATGCTAATGCTAATTTCAAGGCTGTATGCCTAGAGGTGGCCCCAAAGGGGGGGTTGCCCAACCCCCAATGAGCATTATGAGCTGGAATTGTCAAGGCTTGGGGAGGCCTCAAGGCTTGACGATTCAGAGACTGCGGGAGATGCCTCAATACCATTTCCAGGAGGTGTTATTTTTAATGGAAACAAAAAAATGTCGGAATATTGTGGTAGACCTTCAAGTATGGTTAGGTTATGAGTGAGTCCACACTGTTAACCCTGTTGGTTACAGTGGGGGACTAGCAATTTTGTGGAAGAAAAATGTTAACCTCACTGTCCTTTCTTCGAATAAGAATATTGTTGATTGTTCGGTTCGAATTGGAGATTCATCCTTCTTCTTGTCCTGTGTTTATGGTGAACCTGCGCATGATGGGAAGAGTATTGTGTGGGAGAGACTGTCTAGATTGGGTATTGGACGAGTTGATCCTTGGTGTATGGTTGGAGATTTCAATGAAATTCTCAATAATGATGAAAAGAATGGAGGCCCTAAAAGACCTGAAGCCTCCTTTAAGTGCTTTGCTGATATGTTGACTTCGTGTGGGATGGAAGAATTGAGAAGCAAAGGAGACAGATTTACGTGGGGTGGGATGAGATGGAAGAAGTGGATCCAATGCTGCCTTGACCGTTGTTTTGGCAACAAGGAATGGTTTAAAATGTTCCCAGGCTCTCACCAAACCTTCCTTGAGAAGAGGGGTTCAGATCATCGCCCTGTTTGGATTAACCTGCAAGCAAACTTGGAGTCTAATAGGGGGATGTTTAGGTTTGACAGGCGTCTACTGCTGGACCCTGAGGTTAAACTTGATGTTGAGAAAGCTTGGAAGCAGAACAAGGGGATTGGTTCGGTTGCTTTTAAAATACGCAAAAGCAGACGGCTAATGAGTGCTTGGAAGAGAAAACGGAGATTCAATGCAAAAGACAAGATCAACTTACTCCATGAAAGACTGGAGTGGTTTCAATCTAAACCGTACCCGTGCTGGTTTGTTATTACAAGCATCAAGAAGGAACTAATGCAAGCTTATAAGGAAGAAGAGATGTATTGGAGACAGAAAAGTAGAGAGAAGTGGTTAAGATTAGGCGACCGCAACTCCAAATTCTTTCATCTCTCTGTTGTGGCTAATAGAGCTAAACGTCGCCTAAATAAGTTGATTGACAACCTTGGGCGGGATCACTGGTCTGAAAATGCCAAAGCAAAGATTGCCATTGACTACTTCACTGAGCTCTTTACCACCTCTAACCCTCCATCTTATGAGCCAGTTTTTCAGAGTATGATACCCAAGGTCACTCCTGTGATGAATAAAGCCCTAACAGTGAAGGTTTCAAAAGATGAAGTCAGAGAGGCAATTTTTTCTATCAAAGCTGAAAGCGCTCCTGGTCCAGATGGTATGACGGGATTATTTTTTCAGAAATTTTGGCCTTCTATTGGTGATGATGTGACTAAAGAGATTCAAGAGGTCTTTGATAATGGGGTGTTACCTAAGGAATGGAACTTCACATATCTATGCTTGATCCCCAAGATTCCCAACCCGGACAAGATGGCTGACTTACGACCGATAAGTTTATGCTCCGTGTTGTACAAGACAGTCTCAAAGATTCTGGTGAAAAGGCTCCAACCATTTCTCTCTGAGATTGTCTCTGTTAATCAATCGGCCTTTGTAAGTGAGAGATTGATCCAAGACAACATCCTTATTGCTCATGAGGCGACTCATGCTCTAAAAGGACACCCTGAGATCTCGAAATAGTATATGGCCATTAAAACCGACATGTCCAAGGCGTATGACAGAGTCGAGTGGTGTTATCTAAAGGCGTTGCTTAAGGCTCTGGGCTTTGATGAACAGGTGGTCACCTGGATCATGATGTGTGTTACCTCGGCTTCCTTTGCGGTTTTAACTAACGACCAACCCTTTGGTAATATATCACCGAGCAGAGGCATTCGCCAGGGCGACCCACTCTCTCCTTTTCTGTTTGTGCTTTGTACGGAAGGGCTGTCACATCTTCTTAATGTGGCAGAAAGAAACTTGTTGCTAAAAGGAATGAGCTTCTCGGAGTATGGTCCCTCGATCCATCATCTTCTGTTTGCAGACGATAGCTTGTTCCTGTGCCAAGCTAATTCGTTCCAGGCAAAAAACCTTCACAAGATCCTCAAGTTCTATGGAGATGCCACTGGCCAGTGTATTAACCTGCAGAAGTCTTCAATATCTTTTGGAGAGTTGATTCCAGAAGATGTGAAAGGTGAAATTCAAGACATCATGGGCATTTACAATGTTGGTGGTACAAGTAAATACTTAGGCCTCCCTGAAAGATTTACGGGTTCAAAGGTGGACCAGCTTGCGTATCTAAAAGATAAGACTCAAGGACGTTTGAGCAGCTGGTTCCTTCGAAAGTTGTCCCAAGGTGGTAAGGAAGTTCTCCTAAAGACCACAGCGTCTGCACTTCCGGTTTTTCCGATGTCTTGTTTCAGGCTCCCAAAATCAGTCATTAATGGATTGAATAGCCTTATGGCTAACTTTTGGTGGAGCTCCCATTCTCACCTTAAGAAGATCCATTGGGTCTCATGGGAAAAAATGTGCTTACCAAAACAGCTTGGTGGGATGGGATTTAAAGACCTTGGGTGTTTTAATCAAGCAATGCTGGCCAAACAGGGGTGGAAACTCCTGAACCAACCTGAGAGTTTAATGGCCAGATTCATAAAAAGCAGATACTACCCTCAAGGTGAGTTCCTAAGTGCAACTTTAGGATTAAAACCTTCCTTTGCGTGGAGAAGTATTGTCTTTGGAAGAGAGCTCTTGGAGAAAGGTTTGAAATGGCAGATTGGAGATGGCAGAAATACAAGAGTCTGGATAGATAGGTGGGTAGATGATCCGCTTACGGGAATGAGGGCTCCATGGATTAAGAACACCAGCTTTGAGGTGAACCTCAGGGTTAGTTCACTGATCGATAGAAACACAAGAAGATGGGATCCTCAAGCGTTGAAAAACATCTTTGTGGCAGGGGATGTTCTACTGATCAGTGCTAAGCAACCTATAGTCTCTAGGAATGACTCCTTCACGTGGAAACATAATAGAAGTGGGAATCTCTCTGTTCGCTCTGCCTATGAGGTAGCGACAAATTTAAAGATCACGGAGAACCATCCCGAGGTCCTTTGCCTACCTTCTCTTAACCCTATCAAGGAGAGGATATGGAAGGTTCTCACTGTTCCAAAAATCAGAATTTTTATTTGGAAAGCTCTTAGTGATGCGCTCCCGGTAGCTGATTTGGTTAGAATGAGAGGAATTAAAGGAGATGATAGATCTCAACTGTGTGGTAGGGATGGTGAATCCATTCATCATGTTTTCTTTCAGTGTCAGGTAGCGAAATATGTTTGGGCGTTATCTGAGATTCCTCAACCGGAATTTGAGTTCCAGAATAGGAATGTTTTTAACAACATCAATTACCTCTTGAACATTATGTCAGAGGTGAGAGGTGAAGTTGAGGATAAACGCTCTTGGCCTTGGCTGCTTTGGTTGATCTGGAAAAGCAGAAATGATTTCATATTCAAAGGGGTAAGATGGACCCCAGAGGAGATTCAGATTAAAGCAAGAAAAGAGGCTGATGAGTGGTACTTGGCGCAGAGTATTGAGGAAGTCATGACAGAAAAGATAGAGATAAGGAAGAAGGCTCCCGTGAGGCGTTGGACGCCACCGAGTCAAGGCTGGCTCTTATGCAATGTGGCCTTTGAATGGGTCAAAGATAGAAAACTTCTGGGTGTGGCTTGGGTGTTAAGAAATCATAGAGGTGTAGTGATTAGCCATGGTAGAAGAGCCTTCTCGGAGATTGAGAGATTAGATATGGCGAGGTTGGTCTCACTTGGCTGGGCGGTGGAAAGCATGACGAGTGTGCACTATAATAGAGTGGTTTTTGCAGGGGACTTTAAAGAACTAGCCATGGCAGTCCGGAAACCTCACCACTGGCCGGTGCTTAGATATGAAGCGGAGGAGTTGAGTAGGAGCCTTGCTATGATGGAGTAGTTTAAATTACAGTTTTCTAGGCTGGAGGAGAACAGAGGGGCGGCTTTCATTGCTCAAAGTGTGACAAGACAGGGGAGGACGCAATCGTATGTGGCCTCAGGCCACCCTTCTTGGCTTTTTGAGTTCTTTGTTAATGAAAGTCGGTCCCTCTAATACTCCTGACCGACTCCCTCTCTGCGCAAGCTGGTTCTAATCTTATGATTAGGTGTTTAACTGTGTTGTTTTTGTTTTGGCTTTCGTTTTGGCCTCTTGAGAGTGATGAACTCGATGGTGTTTGTATGTGGTTGTATGCTTCCTTCTTTCAATATATATATTCAGATGACAAAAAAAAAAAAAAAATATATCCTACTCAAAAACTCAAACAGATAAAATGTTCCAAAGATAGGAGTTCAACAACTTCGTATCTTTCTAATGTACTAATATTCGTTATTTTGTTCATCAATTTCATTTTTCAGTTGACAAATCTAATTTTTACCACGACTGAAATATTGCTCTGACCTACTAGAGAAGACGTGTTCGTTTATTAATGTCATATACAGTTATAACAAATAAGATATACTCGGACTCGTAAATTAACCAACCACACATACGGTAAGCTTTTATTCCAAGAAACCAAAAAAAGATTCAGATACTTCTTCTAATGATCATGCCTCCAGCTTCTCTTCCCGTATCCGGTAGGACTATGACTAGGACTAACGGGTTTACGTCGGATGTCCGTTTTGGGTTTAGGACTCCTCGGACCGGGATAACCGGTTGTTACTTCTCCACAAGAACTTGACGAGCCACAGCCAGATCCATTAATCGAACCATTTTTGGTCGAGGAGTTCCAATTTGGCATAAAAGAAGTACTTTGAAGCTTGACGGTCGTGCCTTGGTCACGAACTTTAGCCTTTGCAGATGCAGTTGGAGCCATGTAGCTTGGTACACGGGTTGGGCTTTTACGTTGATTATGGGCTTGTCTATATGATCCCAAGTCTGTATACTCTCGATCAATCAGACCGATTATCCTGTCCTTGAGGCTAGTAGGAGTGGTCACGTCCATTTCCACCGTTTTCTCCGATACATCATCGGGTGTGCTGGTACCAGCCGTGGTTGCTGCAGCTGTGAGGAAAGGCGGATAGGGAGGAGGATTGTACGCTCCAGGGCCGGGACTGAAACCGGGGGCGGTTTGACGGCCTGTGTATGGTCGGGAAGACATCCAATGGTCGAGCCAGTTCCAAGCGAATTGAGTTCTATCAGGTCCATTGACAGAAAATCCTATTGCCTCGCCATCATTTGTGTATTGCCTTTGCCGCTTCAATTTGAGAAACAAAATCGAAGTTAAAGATGTTAAGGACATAACTAGTGCATAGATTTCTAATGTCACGTAAAATAATAATGTCCAACTTAATTTTATCAAAAAACTAGAAGACTAGTTTGAGAGAAAGAGAAAAAAGTTATAAGGAAAAAGAGAGATGACCAACCTGGTAGGTGTATGCATAAGCAAGAGCCCTCTCTCTTTCCGTCATTCCTTGACTCTTCTCTTTCTCCTGTATATATATATATATTCAAGATACAATTAACTAATATTTTATTTTCACCTATATTATTTTGACCTATATATTAATTTCTTCCAAGACAATATTGTGGAACATAGTACTCAAGATTTTTCCACGTTACCTCTACTGGAGTTTGGTACAGCCTGGTTCGGTTCACTTCGTGCAATTTCTTCAGTTTTTCTCGTTCGGTTTGGACATTCGCAGATCCTACAAAACCATACAATTAATTATAAATGATAGGTTCACCATAAAAAATGCATGTATATATAGGGTCGACAATCTATTTCCCCACAAAAAGTATCATATAGCACCAAATGTCCACGAAACTATGACTTCGTTCTATTTATCCCCGAGAATAAAGTTGGCAATGTATTTCCCCACCAAATTTGGTTTAGTTATGATTTCTGAAAACCGAATTTCAAATCTTCACTTTCATATAATAAAATCGAGCAAAACTAAACCAAGACAAAATTAAAAACCCGACCAAACCCTGATCTAGATCAGAACAGTAACCCGATCCAACCTTCGAACTTAAAAATATCCAACTGATTGAATTTTAATCTGATTAGTCATTGGCTTAACATGATCTACGGTTTGTTTATAAACAGTAAACCAATAAAAATCGATTTTGTGGGTTTTTAGATTTCGATCTTTATAATTGTGGGGAAATATCGATATTACTTTTATTTGGTGGGAAAATAAGTTGCAAACTTTATTCTTATGGGTAAATAGAACGGATCATAGTTCCATGGATATTTGGTGCTATACAATACTTCTCGTGAGAAAATAGATCGTCGACCCGTATATATATAATATCTACCATAACCATTTCAGTACGTACCTTTGTTTGATGTTTCTATCCCAAATCGCCTCTCTTCTTCTTCAAATTGTTTCTTAAACCGGTCATGAGCCACTTGAAGCCTTCTCGCTCTCACTCGGCCTTGGACACGGACCAGAGCTTGCATACATTTCATGGTCATTTGTGCCTGTTTTCGTACGTGGTTACCACGTACCAATGCTTGTAGCCTAACTAGTCCTTTTAAGGCACGAAGTGCTCGTCTCGCCTACATAGAGAGAAGAAAACAAACAAAACAAAAATGGTCATATCCTTGGATAAACCGGAGTGTTTCTTAAGATGACTCGTTTAGTACTAGTTTTCAACTGCAAGTTACATTGGCTAATGAGCTACGTTTTCAATGAATTTGTATATAAATTGAAGTTAATACTTAATGATAGAAGTGCCGGTCATCTGACATTTTTTTATGAACAAAATGAAAAGAATTAAAGAAAAACTGTAACATCCTAAGTTGTGATATATGAAAATGCTTAAAAAAAATAATTTGGTTATCTATGTCATTAAAGTTGACTTATCTTTTCTGTTATACATCTGTTTAGAACTCCAAAGTTAAGCGTGTTTGGGTTGAAGTAGTGAAAGGATGGGTGACCTATCAGGAAGTGATTCGCGATACCGTGTGAATGAGGTCAAATCACAGAGAAAGGCCAGGTGGTGATTGCATGGTCAGTAAACAATGATTTTGAATCTTTAAAAAAATTAATGGACCGACCATTGGAACGGGATGGACCCACGGGCCGAGAGAGCGGGCGTGGGTGGTCCATTAGCCGTGGGCGGTCGGGGCGGTCGAAGCGTTACAAGTGGTATCAGAGTTTGTTTAGCCATCTCAGTCCTGACCTGAGAGACGTCTTGAAACCTGTCGTGGGGTCCTCGTTGCATTCTTTGAGAGGGAGTGAAGCGTAACATCCTGAGTTGTGATATATGAAAAGGCTTAAAAGGATTAATTTGGCTACCTAAGTCATCAAAGTCGATTAACCTTTTCTATCACACATCCGTTTAGAACTTCAGAGTTAACCATTCTTGGATTGGAGCAGTGAAAGAATGGGTGACCTATCGGAAAGTGACTCGTGATACCGTGTGAGCGAGGCTAAAGTTCGAGAAAAAGTTGGATGGTGATTGCAGGATGAGTAAACAATGATTTCGAGTCTTTGAAAAAGTTAACTGACCGATCATTGAGATGGGATGAACTAGAGAGCATGCGTAGATGATACGTTAGAGCCGTGGGCGGTCGGGGTGTTACAAAAACATTTTAGAAATTTTCATTATGCTATACGGTCAAATAAAAATGTACGTTTTATATATTTTTTTCATAATGCTCTACATAAAATTACGATTTCTGGACCGGGCCTGAATTGTAGCCAAATATATTTCGATTCTTGATGAACAAGAGAACCGGTAAAGGTCGATGTATGGTACCTTTGCTAAATAATTGACTCACTGATAGTGAGAGTTGAAAATCATTATAAAAAATTAGGAATTGAAAATTACCAAGTAGCCTCTGTAGTGAGATTGGATGAGCACCGCGGCGGTATCTTTCTTTGTCAGGTGGTTATAGCCAGCAAGACGAACGATTGTGGCCGCGGCTTGTGCGGCTGCAACGGCGGCTTCAGCTGCTGCTGCCGTGGCCATAGCCTCAGCCATGACATGTTTTCTCTCTCCAACGATCGTTGCGGGAGTAGAAGCTATGCTCTCGACATCATGGGAGATCTCCGGCGAACTTTCCTCCGGAAACTTTTCAAAAGACACGACTTCTTGCGAGTCGTTTTGCCGATGCCACCTGTCGGCGTTGTTGTTGCTAATGTTGTTTTCTCTCTGCATATGTTTTAATAATTAAAATGTGACATGATTAATAGTTATACATCATTTGAAATATTTTCATCTTTGCAAGTTTATTGGCCTATGAATACTTCCTAGGTTTGTGTTTTACGTCTAAATTATTCAACGTCCAGTCTTCACTAAACAACAGTTATATAGTTACTTCGTTTTGTGCATGCATGTGGTGAATCTGGTGACTTTCTATGCTATATTATAATTAGGGCTGGGCATTTTATCCGTTAAATTTGATTCGATTCGTTATTCGTTTCGATTCGATCCGAAAATTCCGGATATTCGTAAACTTCCGAATCAAAGCAAATACTAAAAATCAATATCCGTTAAAGTCGAAGCAAATCACAAATATTAAAATTTTGGGAAGCGGATATCCGATCCGATCCGGAAATATATAAATATATTTATATATTGATTATATTTAAAATTTTAAATGTATAAAATTATAAAATTATTATTCTAACACATGATTTTGAACAATTCTATTCATATTATTACTTATATAAATGTATTACATAAAAAAAGAAAAACAATTATGACAATTATATTTTTTGTTCTTAACTTTTGTGTTATTATAATTGCAACTTAAACTTCAAAAATTACAAAATGTGTAAATTCACTAGTTCTTTTAATTTTTATTTTATATATCACGCAAAAAAAATATTTTTGCAAAGNAACAATTCTATTCATATTATTACTTATATAAATGTATTACATAAAAAAAGAAAAACAATTATGACAATTATATTTTTTGTTCTTAACTTTTGTGTTATTATAATTGCAACTTAAACTTCAAAAATTACAAAATGTGTAAATTCACTAGTTCTTTTAATTTTTATTTTATATATCACGCAAAAAAAATATTTTTGCAAAGCAAATTTATATCAAAATTTTAAGATTAGTTGTATTAATCAATATGGATTAGATATCCGTAAATATTCGCAAATATCCGCAAATATTTACTTATTTTCCGGATATCCGTTTTTTCGGATATCCGTATTTTTCCGAAGCAAAGCAAATACCAAAATTAGATATCCGTAACATTCGAAGCAAATCACAAATACCTTGAAAAATCCGGATATCCGATCCGCGCCCACCCCTAATTATAATCAATAAGAACAACGTAACTCAAGAATTTTCTTTTATGTAACTAAGAGTTTCTTAACTAGAATCTCTAGACATTATTAAGAAGTTTAATTATGTAATTTAGTTACTGAAAAATAGATGTGCCATTTAAAAGTAGATATGTGGCTTTCAACTTTTTTGAAAGTTTTTATACAAAAACGATTCTTACTTTTTCTGCTTTCTCATTTTCACTTTTCTTGTATGAGAATCCTCTTGAGAGACCATAAATGCTAATGTCATATAAAGGGTTAGACCGTTGGATTGAGATTGAAAATAAATATACAATGATAAAGATTGTGGGGCTAAACATTTGGATAGTGGTTAATAAAAGACTATACTACAGTAACGCGAAGATATGCATATACATATATAGTTACAAGTTGACATAAACATACATATATCTATAGGTGGGGAAATAAATTGGGTGGAGTGATGGCGAGGGAACAAAGTAATGCACATGATATTTGGGGAGAAAGGAAAAAAGATTTATTTTAGGTGTCATGAAAATCATATTTCAATGCTCTTATGAGGAGCTTCCTTGCCCATCTCTTTCACAAGGGGACCAATCTTCTTCGGCTTTTAATTCATAATTACGGTCTTTACATTTAATTTGGTAACTCAACTTGTTATATAAGATGAACAATCGTATTACTTTGTCCCCTTCAAGCTAAAGCATACATAAATGCATCTTTTTTTTTTTTTTTTGAAACTAACATAAATACATATTACGAACACTGCTTAAATAATGCAAGCAAAGGGAAAGAAAAATGTTCATATTGCAAAAAAAAAAAAAAAANTTTTTTTTTTTTTTTTGAAACTAACATAAATACATATTACGAACACTGCTTAAATAATGCAAGCAAAGGGAAAGAAAAATGTTCATATTGCAAAAAAAAAAAAAAAAGACAACAATAAACAAATAAATAGAATTGTCACTCACTCTCTCGATAGTGCCGTCTAAAATGAGTTAATTTGTTCTGTAACTTTTCAGGTTAATACAAAATTCAGTGAATAAGTACATTACGTATGTGTAAGAATGTTTTAAGATATTCATATCTAACATGCATAGTGTCTAATCAAGACGAAAAAGACATTAAACCAAAATTGCTTATTATTTAAGTAATACTTATGGGACATATAACATATTGATATAGTATATATTATTTTCCACGTTATGTTTTTGTTAGAATTGTTTAAATTAGTTAAAACGTTACACATTTGTACTTTGATAACTATAAGTTCTTTCTTTACTTCTCTTCTTTATTTGGGTAAAATGATTTTTTTAATATTAAGATTAGATCCCAATACTTCTAATATGTTTGTAGTACACCGAATTATGATGCTGTAAGTGTAATTTAATGAGAAATGTATGAATGTAATAATTAAGGTATGTTTGGATATACCTTTGAGTCTTTAGGAGAGGATTTAAAGACCTTCTTCTTCACCGTTGAGAACCATCCACCATTCCCTTTCTTCCCCATTCCAGCAAAACTCTTTAATTTTTTTATTTTTTTTTTTTGAACAAAGCAAAACTCTTTAATTATAAGCTCTATCAATACTGTTTGACCAAAAAAAGCTCTATCAATACTGAAAAATTGTTTCAAAATATGCTTTTAATTATTAGAGTTTTCCAAATTAGCTTTAAATCTGTTAAAGCGAAAAAAAAATCCAGAAGTAGCCAAAACCAAATATATAACACTGTAACATATCTGTTTTTGCGTTTTTATATAACATTTCCAGATATCTCAACATGCATAAAAGTTAAACATATATGTATATGTGAGCATTCAAGAACTTACATGTTTGTGCAATGTGATCAAACCATTGGAGCGATTTTTTTTTTAAGTTTAGAGAGAGAGAGAGAGAGAGAGAGAGAGAGAGAGAGAGAGAGAGAGAGAGAGAGAGAGAGAGAGAGAGAGAGAGAGAGAGAGTGGAGAGAATGAAAGAAACAAGAGGTGAGAGAATGAAAGAGAGAAGTCGCATAGAGTTAAGTTGGGAAGGAGGAGGTGTCTCATCTCATCACCGAATTGAAACCATTAACGGAGTCACGTTGGGTTCGGTTAAACACCGTTAAGTGTTTTTACGAAGTTCACGAGGTTTTCTATTTTTGTCCTTTTCTTTGTCGTTTTTATTTTAACGCCAATCACTTTTTCTCTTTTAATTGTATAAAGTCTTCTGACATTTGTGATGATCAGGAAGGTGAAAGAAGACAATTGAGCTAATAATGCTATAAAAATATGTTTTGACTTTTTAAAATATGTGGGCTTGTGGACCTAAACAATATAAATTTAACCGATAAATAAATATTTTTGAAAAGAATTATGTATCTCAATTTAAATAATATATATATATAATATTATTAGAATCATTTTAAAAATCTACTATGAAAATTTTGTTAGACCCTAGTATAACTATTTGTTATTATTTTGGTCATACCTATAATTACTCTAATCATACGATGTTTTAAATATTTCAAATGAATCATATTATTTATTTCACTATACTTTCTCTAAAAATATTTCATCAACTATTACGGTTTTTATGCAATAATGTAATATTATACATCATATCTTACACACAATAATGAACCTACAATATTTAGATATCAATTATTAAAATGAGTTAACATATATCATGCAACAATTATACCATGTCATATTGCACTATATATTTTCAAATAGTTACAAAATCAAATTTGATAACAACACTTTAGCAAAGCTTTTATTAAAAACAAATATATATATATATACATATTAAACTAAATCAATTTTTTTACAAAAAAAAATATTTGATATAAATTTAATATTTGTTAAAAACTTTATATTTCTACATTATTAAATTAGTCAAAAATATGCCAAGTAAATCTTAGCTCTCCCCAACTTAATGAATATAGCTTTTATAATATGCTCACAAAATAGAATGAGAGAGAGAGTAGGCATGGGCATCCTAATCTTCAAGCCGGGTACATATTGATTCCTTTGGGGGGGGGGGGGGGTTGGATCCTAAACATTTAAACCTAATTAGATATTTGATAATTTTTAGTTCGAGTTCAGGTTAATTCTTTTCGGATTGGTATAGGTTAGGATCCGGATAAATTCTCATAACTTAAAGAAAGTTACATAAAGAGTGTACATATAAAATCTTAAATAAACAGATTCATAAATTATATAATTTTAAAAATTACATATAATATATTTTTTTTTTGTTTTTTTGATAATCCAGGGATTCCTCGCTTCGTGGGTCATTCCTCTGGGTCCGGTTAGACAATGGTCCGCTTCACCCGGAAGGGCTTTACCTGCGCTAAGGACAAGGTCCAACACCCAGTACCACATTTGGTGACAAGATTCGGCAGTTCCCCCCCCCCCTCGCGCCTGACGTCGAACCCGTGAGCATGACAATTGGTTCACAGGGTCCTTACCAAACGAGCTACCTCATCCCGTCATATAATACAATTTTGTTACATAATAATATACAACAATCTCAAATACTAGACCGCTACTGACGTTAAACGTTGTCGGGACTGCTAATGACACTGAAATTGTGTTTCACGCTCCATTCTTTCTGATCCATTCTTTACTTTATACTACGATAGAGCAACACTAGCGTGAGAGTTAGGGTCCAAGGAATTATCAGACCAAAAAAAAAACAATCTCAAATACTAATTCATATCAAAAAAAATTGTTTAAATTAAAAAAAAAAAAACAATCTGTTCTTGGACGTGCTGTTTAAAATCTAGTATATTAAGAAAATCTTTTATAAAGCATTCATCAATCACGACAATAATTTGTCTAACTACTGCGAAATCTTTAGTAACAAGGATGCAGTAATCAAAGAAGTTTCAGAACTGAAGCTTAGTGAATGGTTGTTGTTGTGAGCGATATCCACAGCACTAGTTAAATTTACAGCAGTGATATCACTCAAATTACCATAAGGGGTGAATTACTCTCTTAAATAAATTTACAGCAGTGATATCACTCAAATTACCATAATGAGTGAATTACTCTCTTAAATAAAAAGTTCAGTGAATTACTTAGGGATCAAATTCACAAGGAGTTAGGGAATCAGTTAGATCTAACAGTTATGAATAGTCTAGACAAGTAAATAATAAAACAGTAAATATTATAAAGCAATAATAATAGCAAGCAATAAAACAATAAATAAGATGAGCAAGACAATTGTTCCGCTTGGCAAGAAGTTGTTTGATGGAAGGATGGTTGTTAGAGAGTATCTGAGGCATGTATGCTTGAACTCTTCAGCATCTGCAAATGTTCTCCCCAATTTCAACATCTCCACAGGGTCCATTTCCTCTCTATAAGCCTCAGCAGGTCTCATATCTTCTTCATTCTCTTCATCAGATGACATGGGATCAGGGATCATGTCATCATCCCAAGCATAATCATCACCCTCGTCTTCATCTTTTTCACACTCATCATTCCTAGCTTCCTCTCCTAGTATGGCTAAATCTGTGCACCTTTCCTCTACGATCCCTTCAAACCCTTCTTCTCTTTCATTCGCATCATCATCACCCTCAACCCCGCCAAACTCGTCCTCATCTTGGCTATATGGAGGATCCACATCCTCTTTCTCATAGAGCTGATCTTCTTCCTCAGAACAATTCACTAAATTCTCAGGACTCAAATCCTCGATCTCTGTCCTCTTACGCTTCTTCGATACTTTCTTCTTCATAGCTTTCTTCGTCGGTTTGGTCACAGATACAGAAGATTCACCATCGCCTTTCCTCTTCGTTTTTTTTAACTCTGGAACACTTCCACCACCATCGATTTCTGGGTTCTCCAAAGACACATTACCTCTGGATCCATCCTTCTTCTTTGATTTCCTGGATACAGACACAGTAGCTTTTTTCTTCTGAGGCGATGTACGAAGAGGAGTTCCTCCCTTAGGCTTCTTCCGAGGCGATGTACGAAGAGGAGGAGCTACTTTGGTTTCAGACTTTTTCCCACCACCACCACGTGATTTCTCTCCCTTCCTCGGAGCTCTCTCAGGAGGCGGCTCCTCCTTATCAACGAAATTCCGGCTAGACCTCCGAATCACTTTGCCATCATGCATGAATTTCGTCTTCACCATCGTGTTTGATTTGAGAGAAAATAAAACCCCAAATCGAAATGGGATTTTGTGAAATTAGGGTTCTGGGTTCGTGAGGTATATATGAGGAAGATGATCAAAACGACGTCGTTGTTTTTTTCCCGGAATGATCAGTGATAAGAAATATAATGCATTCGTTTGCATTAAACATTGACGAAGCCACTGGTACAGTGGCAAAACACTCTCGTTATAAGCAAAGAAATCCGGGTTCGAATTGCGCAGGATGCACATTTTTTCTTAAAAAAAAATAATCACTTCTCTTAAGAAGCAAAACGACGTCGTATAAGTTAACAGCCACAGTAAACGGATAGTTAACACCGGTGTAAAAATCTGTTAAGTCAACTAACGGTGGGTTCATAATGGCAAGTCAACAAAAAACATACGAGTTTATTGGTAAGTCAAATATCATTCAGCATTTTTTTGGTCAGTGAAAAAAGTTGTGCTTTTTTTGGCGATTTCTGCAAAGTTCAGTCTTTTTTTGGCCGAATTCTCATAATAATTTTGTACTGCTGTTTTTACGTGGGAAGGAAGGATGAGTGACAGAAAAAAAAGTATTATTCGATTTGTCTTTTGGAATAAGATATTTGGGGTAATATTCGATTTGCTTTAATGCTAACAAACTTTTTAATTGGAAAAAATGTGTCAATGGGCTTCAGAAGAAAAGGTATCGATGGGCTTCCGAAAATAGATGAAACCATGTTTCAAAGTAAACTTCTATTTATTAAAACTACAATCCAAGTTCCCAAACACATCTATATTTTAAAAATCCTATCCAAACTACCAAAGAAACCCAATTTGTACTTCAGTTTTAATAAGATAGACTAGATTTGACCCGCCCTTGGAAAGGGCGGGTTTTGTTTTTAATTTTTTTACTAAATATTTAACCACATTTGTAAACTGAGAGTATATGTTTGGATATATTTATTCGAAGCCGCAAACTGAACGTACCAAATTAAAAACCGAAAACTAAATTGAATTTCACAAATAATAGAGTATTTTTAGATTCTTTTGTCGTATATAACTCGGATTGGCATATGTTCTTCAAGTACCATTCTATCAGAGGTTTTGCCAGCTGATATATTTTAAACCTGTTGGTTGTATATAACCCATAGGTCAACTACTTTTTTTTACTTAAAATTTTGACCCGTTCAACCCACGGTTCAAAATTCACCATACCACATCCTCCCCGCTTAATTTTGCGGGTAACCTGCGAGTTCCTCAGGTAATATTTTATCTAAAAAATAAACATTTTCATTAATTTTTTTTAAAAAATAATATATTTTGTCAATAAAATTTAATATTATTTTAAATTTTTTATTATTTTTTTAAAGAAAATCCTGATCTATTAAAAATGTTTTTTTTAAATGACTTTGTTTTTAAATTTTTGGAAATATATATTATTAATATTTTTTGAACAAAACGTAGGTTAGTTAAGGGAAGATATTATTGGTATTTGTTAACAAAATCATAGGAGAGATTTGTTAACAATATCATAGGTCTAGCATTGTGACGATTTGGGTCTGTCGAAATTATAGTATACCTTAGCCCATCCGAAAATATGTTAAGATTTGATAGATATACTTGTTACCAAACAGCCATTAAAAATAGCTGGTAAACCTGTTACCAAACACTCCAATTGGTACTTCTACTTTAATTAGATAGATAATTAATGATTTGATATATTGTTAAAGGTAAATATAATGAATGATGTGAAATATAATTAATGATGTGATGTATTGTTAAGATAATATAATTAATGAAATTATTAA